TGGACATATGGTAATACAGCTAGACACGGCATCGTTGGGTAGCATAAGCTTTCCGGTGTCACGACGTGATGAAATCAGGCGCCCGTCAACTTTTGGGCTTATGGAGTTATTAATATTTATTATCATCAGCTTGTTTATTTGTCCGACTTTGAATTGTAAAAAGTACCCATTTGTCTTGAACAGAAGTAGACATTTTGTGATTGAAGGAGATATGGGTCGTCTGGTGTCAGAGATAGAATTAACAAGAACGTGGCCGTCGAATTTTGGTGACTTCCAAAGCTTGAGTGTCCTTGGAAACCGCAAATTTACAGTTTTTGTGCCTTTGATCAACGTTTTTCCTGAAGATATTCACACAGAACTTTGTTTTCATAGGGACACAAAGGTTTGAGCCAAAACAAACAAATAAATAATTAGAATATTAAGTTGGATAAAACTTGCCCAAGGGGCTGAAAACATCCAATTTCATCATTTTGACGAGCGCCTGGTTACACCACGATGCCACATTATGGCAATACGGCGCGACACGGATCCGTTGGGTCGCTGTTTCTTCTTTTGGTTTGGCAGCTCAGTTGACGGAAGCCTGACCGCCCTGGCGTCCTCTAACGACGGGGTGGCAAACTGAGTACGGAGTTCAGTTTATGTTGGGATATATTCAAGGCCAGAGGCTGTCTTTCCGGGGTGGCATGAACGAAGTGCATTTTGTTTCTGTCACTATGGACCTTAGAAATAATAACTGGTTGAACTAGGCTTTCCTCTGCGAGAAAATCTTGTCGTCTGGTTTTATGGCATGCTTTCCACTTTCTGTATATAAAAAGGTATGGATGAAGCCTAATCACTCATTTAAATCCATCTCAGATAGACTGAGAAAAATTGGAGGAGGGCCACAAAAGCTGCACATACAAGCAAAGTATGGGAATGTTTAGTTGAGGATTAAAACAAAAGTTACACTTCGTTCAATGTAACAGAACAATGTTATTCTGTACCTGATACAACACTCCATTACAAGATTTTATTTTCTCAGTGTGTCTACGAGAAACCATTTTTGGGAATAACGACGTCTTGGGCGTTAAGAGAGCGGAATAAACATTTTGCAATTTGTTTTTATACCCTCCTAGAATTTCAGACCATGCAAGGGGCGGACTGCGTCTATCCTGCCTGTCAGTGTCAACTCGGGCTGAGAGGAAAACAACATAGTACGAGACGTCGGAGATAACATCGAAGACCCTCACCGCTACAGAACAGACCCCATAGTTTTATAGAGAATGAGGAGAAAGTGTTGCTTGTTACGGTGTTGTGCACTCTGGAGAGTGGAGCATACATCTCCTCGTTTTTTGTTATATAATAAGTGTGCAGTGAGAGACATCTAATACTGTAGGTTAAGAGAGAAGTACAGGGAGAAAGAGAGAGAGAGAGACTGAGAGGGAGAGATAGAGATAGAGAGAGAGAGAGAGAGAGAGAGAGAGAGAGAGAGAGAGAGAGAGAGAGAGAGGAGGGAGGGGTAAAAGTAGATCTTAAAAAAAATTCACGACACAGACTAAATGAACTCTTTCTTTGTACAAAAACTATTTCAGTGAAGCATTTACTGCACACATTGCAATACGTTCACTCACTATCTAATATTAAAAATAAAACGTAAACAAACAAAAACAAAAAAACCCAAAAACTAATAATTCAGTAATTCCGTCCGAGGCCACCAATGTGAACGATGAGGACTTGGGCAAGACTGTTATGTCTTCCCTGGTAGCCGAAGTAAACGCAGCAGAATTAAAAATGCAGATCTTTACGGTACGGTACGATGAGGGTGGAGAGCCAACACGGACAGTTCCCGTGGATAGCGGTTCCAGCAACCAGTGAGTCTCTCTCTCTCTCTCTTTCTCTCTGTCTCAGTGTGTTCTAGCTGCATATATTTTTATTCCTGTTTTGCAAATGCCTACTATATCTA